GCCTAGAGATTGCTATTTCAGGATAGCTACCTCATCCACCTCCCTATTTTAAAATCAGTTTATAGTACCCTATGGTTAAAAATTAGAGATAAGGATTTCCTACTTTCTAAAAATGCCTTTTAAATTTCTTGCTGCCTAACTAGGTTATAGTGACTTTTAGAATTAAGTTAAGAATTCTTAGGTAGCTTGCAAACCCTAGTCTGAGAATATTATGAATTTTAAAAATAACATTATTGACTGGAATAAAAATACCTTTGGGAATATTTTTCAAAGGAAGAGGCGTATTTTGAACAGGCTTAAGAGTATTTCCTATAAATTAAGTGAGGGAGGGAATCCTTTTCTCAATAGCCTTATGAAGTCTTTATCGGCTAATTATCAGGAAATTCTAGATCAGGAAAAATTTTCTAGTACCATCACTATAGATCTAACTAGATTAAGCTTGGTGATAGAAATAATAGCTTCTTCCATAAAGCTGCAATTATCTGTCGATAGAAGAATCACTTTCCAGCTCTTAGGGATGACAACAATAACTAGGAATATGACCCTATTAAGCTAAAGAACCTTAGGACCATCTACTCTAATCCCAGCCCTCCTGGGAGGGCCCTGCAAACTGTTACTAGTTTCTCCCCTTTTAAGGACTCTAACATGGCTTCCTTAGATGCTGATATATTTATTGACTAGGTTAAAGCCTTCCTGTTTAGCATTTGTAACTTTAAGTCCCCTAGGCCAGATGGGCTCCATACCATATTTTTTAAATCTCAATGGAATTTGTTAGCCCCTTCTATTTACCAGTTTGTCTTAGGTACTTTTAAGAGGTCTAGTGACACTGAATCTATAAAAGATAATTCTCTTACCTTAATTCCTAAAAATGATTACCTTGAGCACCTAAAAAAACTTTAGGCATATCTCCCTTTACAATATGAGTTATAAAATTATAACTAAGCTAATAGCCAACAAAATTAGTGCTTTTTTGGACTACTTAGTTTCTGCAAACCAAACTAGCTTTATCTCTAATAGGCAGTGAATAGACAATGTCCTGATTCTTCATGAGCTAATGCACTCATTTAATAGACTCAGGAATAAGAATAATTATATGATAATTAAACTTGACTTGGAAAAATATGATAGGGTTAGATGGAGTTTCATTAATGATACTATCTAGAAAATTGGTTTCAACACTAAACTGATTGACCTGATTTATAAGTGCATCTCCTCATCTACCATGTATATTAACTGGAATAATGAAAGGACTGAAGAGTTTTGGCAAGCTAGAGGAATTAGGCAGGGTGACCCAATTTTTCCCTATATTTTTGTTCTTTGTATGGAAAAACTTGCTCACTTAATTCAGGATAGAGTTAATAATGGTGATTGGACTCCCTTTCATTTTCACTTCACTAGTCCAAAAATTTCTCATTTATTTTTTGCTGATAATATTTTGTTGATTGCTAAAGCTGACTGTAATAATGTTGATGTTATAAATCTTGTTTTGAATGATTCAGTACAGCCTCAGAATTATCTATTAATAAAGCTAAATCATTTATTTTCTTCTCTCGAAATTGTGATACTGCTATGACTCAGGATATTAGCCTTAGGTTAGGTATTACAATTTTTAATCAGTTTGGCAAATACCTTGATATTCCCATTAGCCATCTTAACTCTACCAGAAAAGACTTTGCTTTTTTAATAGACAAAATTAAGAAAAAGCTTTCAATTTGAAAAATGAACTCTTTAACTATAGCTGGTAGGATTGTCTTAGCTCGGTCTTGTATCTTAACCATCCCAACTTATTTCATGCAAAGTATACTGATTCCTAAAGCTATTTGTAATGAAATTAATGGTATTTGTAAGAAATTTATTTGAAGTTTTTTAAGTGGTAGGAAATGTCATTTAATTGGTTGGGAGAAAATCTATAAACCTATGATTGAGGATGGTTTAGGATTCTGAGACATTTCCCTTGTTAACCAAGCCTATTTCATGAAATATAACTTTACCTTAGGTAGAATTTCCAATATTAGTAATAGCAAATATTCCTCTCAGTTATGGAAGAATATGGTCTCTGTTTGGGCTGCTTTTCGAAAAAGATTAGGATGAATCATTGGGGATGGTTTGTCTAGGTTTTAGAAGGATATCTGGGTCTCTAATCAGCAAATTTTAGTTGATCATGTGCTTGAGCCTGTCCTCAGGGTTGAGTTAGAGGACCCTATTACCGTGTTTGCCCCTTAAGAAGACTGGATTGTCCTAGGCTTAAGAGAGTTATGCTTGAGTATTTTTGTAATGATATTGTCCTCCTAAGGTCCCCTAATTTGGCAAGAGGTTAGGACCTTGTCTTTTGGAGATTCTCTTGTAATGAGGTTTTCTCTTTGAAATTTGCTTATGCTTTTATTTCCAATGGTGCTTTTAAAAATTTTGATTGTGGTCTTAATTTTAAGTCTGTGTGGAGCTGGGAAGGTCTTACCAGGATTTTTGTTTTCCTCTGGAAAGTTGTCCATGGTCGCCTCCTAACTAATGTGGAAAGGTTTAACCGTGGGATGTCTGCCTCCTTTATTTGCAGTAGGTGCAATTAGGCCCCTAAAACAGTCATTCATGTGCTCAGGACTGTTGGTGGACCAAACAAATTTGGGACCAATTTGTTCTCTTTAGTAACTGTGTGTCTTTCTTTAGCTCTGATATAAATAGGTGGCTAAATATTAACCTTTCTAAGGATAATTTCTTTTAATTTTCGCATTGAAATAGTTTGTTTCGGGTGATTGTTTGGAACCTGTGAAATAATATGAGTAATGTTATTTTCCAGAATCATCCTTTGAATAATGAAGCCCTTTTGAACAAAATATTGTATGATTTTGATGCTTTGCAACTTTGTGGCTGGTCTAAGCAGAGGACTGTTCTTGATTTGATGGAAATACAATGTAATGTTAAATGGATCTCCCCCCTTGAGAAGTAGTTTAAACTGAATGTTGACAAATTAGCTTCTAAGAATTTGGGGTTTGCTGGCTGTGGTGGTCTTATTCAGAACAACAGAGGCAAGTTTATTGCTCGCTATTATAGCTCTTTGGAGGCTTGTTCTCCCTTATTAGCTAAATTATTGAGTATTTATTAGGGTATTCAGCTTGTTATCAGTAAATATATTCACCTCATTTGGATAAAGTGTGACTCTTTGGATGCGTGCTCTCTGTCTTATTACCTGATTGGCTTGCCAAGTGTGGGTCTAAAGCTAGTTTGGTATTTTCTGTTTTGATAAACCCCCACCCTCCTTAGTCCCCTTCCTTATAATGGATGCATTGGGATTTGTTTTTCCTAAGCTAAACTGCTAATGTGTTTTGTTTTGGGCCTTTAGGCTCCCGTTATTAGCCAAAAAAAAAAAAAAAAATCCTTTAGAGAGATTATAAAAGATCTTATAGCTTTGTTGTTTTTTTTATTGTCTAAGTTCATTGAAAAATTAGGATAACAATTAATTAAAATAGAATCATCATGAATATGACTTTTTAAAGTTGTTATTATTGAATCTTGTATAGCCTCATATCTAGTAATAAAATACGAATAGACATATTAACTTCTACTCTATAGTTTGGTTTAATTGCTACTTGAATTAATCCTAAATGAATACAATGATATTGTTCTTGTACATGTTTTTCTAGTAACTTATTTTCCAAAAGTTGTATCTCTTTATTATTTGTTATTCTTTATTATGAGTATTAAACTATATGTACTTGTTTATATGGTTTTGATTTCTAAAGAGATGTTAATTTATATATATTTGAAGTTTTTATTTTTAGTATAGTCACTAATAAAATTTCTATTTGTTCTATTGAGAAATTTTATCTAAATGAAGAAGTTTTCACTTTTTTGTTTTGTGTTTTATTTTTATATTTTGTTTATTACTTCATAAAATATATTTAACATTTTTAATTATAAATGACATATTAATATTAATTTTTTTATTAACAAATTAAGTTATAGGACCACTCTAATTAACTAACGAATTTATTGTTTTATCTCAGATTTTATTGTCACATTATTATCTGAGTTGACTAATATATTAACAACTTTTACTTATAGCTATGGATTAACGTTTCAAAACTTAAAATTTTAAATTTCTTTTATATTTTAGGCTTTGATACAAGAGTAAAAAAAGAAGAAAAACAAAGAAGAAAAAATTATAAAAGTAATAATATGAAAAAAAAGAAAATATAGTTAAGAAAAAAATAAAAAAATAATATAAAAAACACTTATTAAAATTGAAGAAAGATAAAAATATAATAAAACACTGTAATATTTAAAATTGAAATTTAATTTGGTAATTGAAAATTGGAGATAAAGATTTGCTTTTATGCATGTACTTTTAATAGCTTATACAACGTACATATATTTTAATTTGATATAATATATATAATAAAATTATTTTTAATTATAACATTTTAAAAAAATTAATTTAATTCTATATGATGAAATATAATATAATAAAGAACTTTTTATGCTTAAACATTGTTTATAGAAGATTTTAAAGTTTATATAATATAATAAGTAAAAATTAAATAACATATTTTGTTTTTAAAATTTAGAATAAAATTAAATAAATTATAACAAAAAAGAAAGAATATAATTTCTTATTTATAATAACAAAATTGATCTATCTAAATAAGTAAATAAATATATTTATTTAAAATATAATAATTTAATCATTTAATGTTATAAATACTTTTGAAATATAGTATAAATTTACGAGATATAACTGTTATTAATATTGATAAATTAGTGAAAAATAAATAATCTGTGAACGTTACCCGAGATTTAACAACGAGGAAGAAAAAGATGAGAATGAATAGGACAAATGAATACAGTCCAAGGAAAGGCATATATGTATGTATATGTTCCTCGTTTTCAGTCTCATTTGAGCCTCTGTTTTTCTGCACTCCATCCAAACAGACAGCCCCCAAAACGAACATAAAAATCGTCAAATAATAAAAACAATAATAAGAAAAACTGCGCAGATTGGCGTCCTTTTCGCCACGCTCGTCTCCCTCACTACGAGATGATCCCTGTAACCTCCTAAACGATCGAAAATTCCCAAAAAAAAACAAACAAAACCTCTATCTGACTCGCTCTGATGGCTCACCACCAACTCATTGACTCGCTCACCTCCCACATCTCTCTCTACCATTCCCAATCCCCTAACCCTAACCCTAACCCTAACCCTCACCCTCGATCATCCATCCTCAAATGGTTCTCTTCTCTCTCTCTTCACCACCGCCAAGCTTATCTTACCATCGTTGATTCCAATTTCGTCCATATTCTCCTTCAAATGCTCGTCAAGCTCCGATCCCATGGCCATGGCTCCTTCATTCTTCTCCCTGACCTTCCCTCGCGAAATCCTCCCTTCCTCCCCACCCTCTGCTTCAAGAAATCGCGTGGCCTCCTCGCCCGCGACGCCGAGTCCGATGCCTCTGGGCGGCTTCTTTTTAACTCCGCCCGTCTGTTCGAGTCGCGCGAGGGAGAGGAGGTTGCTGCGTGCTCGTGCTCCCCGAGGGGCCTCGATGCGGTGGTGCTCGCCGAGGGCCTCGTGGAGGATGTGGACCGGTTTGTGGACACCATGGACCGGATCTCCAATGGAGGGTTCCTCCGCGGGGATGAGAGTGATCTCGGGGAGGATTGGGTGGAGCTGCATTGGCTCAAATCGAAGGGTTATTACAGTGTTGAGGCATTTCTCGCGAATAGGATCGAGGTTTCGATGAGGTTGGCGTGGTTGAATAGCAGTGGTGGGAGGAAGAGGGGTGTGAAATTGAAGGAGAAGTTGAATGCGGCTGGTGTTGCTGCGAATGTGTTTTGGAGGAAGAAAGGGTGTGTGGACTGGTGGGGGAATTTGGATGCTGTGACAAGGAGGAAGGTCTTCTCCACTACCATCATGAAGGCTGCGAAACCTTTGGTACTTTCCTGGGAACTCTTGGAACTATTAATATGTTGTAGTGTTTATGTAAATTGCATAATTAGTTCTCACTAGTTAATTCTTTCCATTTTGGAAGGCAACAAAGTTCATGGAAGATGTTAAGTTGTGGAATTCGTGGGATAATTAGGAAAATTTTGTATTGGATGTTAAAGGGAATACATTGTATTAATGGTTTTGTTTCATTGCCGTAAGGGCTTAGGGGGCTTAGGGTAATGATTTAGGAATCGAATTTGGAAAGGGTTTATTGAAAAATGTAAGATTTAATGCTACTAATGCATCCACTATGGTTTTCCGTAAATTTTTTTTTTCTATTTATTGATTTCTTAGGCATTGTTCTGGGCAATGGCTAGTGAAATACATTTACATTAGAATAGTTCAATGTGGAATCGTTATATTGTGGCATATATTTTGTGTACTTGTAATGTCTTGCTTATAGTTATTAACTTTATAATGGATCTACTATATTTCTCAAAATTTGGTCGATTGACAAGTTTGGAAAGATAGTGTGAGGGAGTCTACTTTTTTATCGATTGTGCATTGTAAGTAAAATTTAAACAAAAAATTGACACATTGTTAAGAGTAATGTGCAATTATTCATTCATTGATAGTTATACCAGAGAATAAGTATTATGATTTATGAAGTACAAACTCTGTCATGGACAGGACATGGCTAATGTCTGAAATATAGGATCCTAGGACACTGCACGGGCACACACGCACACACACAAGTAAACATTATTTTTTAATATAAGCATTTAGTTTCTTTATAAAAATATCTCAAAACAAGATATATCATATTTACCTTTTCAAATAAATATACAAAGTTTTATAATTTTTCTATGATAATGTGCCTTACGAAAAAAGTTAAGCATGGTTTTTTTATATTTTACATTATATTGTAAGCTAAATTTTTTAAACATTAAAAAATTGATTTTTTTTTTCATAAAAATCGTATGTGTCTATACTAAAGTGCTGGCTCAAGTATCTGAGCTAACAGAAGCCATATTTTTCATTGGACACCTAACAATGAATGTTTGATATGTGTTGAACAAGTGTTCGAGAAATGTCGGTGTAGGAAATGCATTTGATACTGTGACACTTCAAATAAGAGAGGTGTTTGTGCTTTGTAGATCATGATTCTACGAGATTGTTTCTGATAAGAATCTTGACAGAACCTTTCTATAAAAGCAGGCCTTTGTAATTGGAGAGCGCAAGGCTTTATAAACTTCACACTAGAATCTCATCCTCTCAATGTGGAACTAAAGTCCTGATTCTAACATTTCACTATGCTATGCAGCTCAAGTGTCCTAACATGCCAGCTGTGCACTAGTCCCTTGACTAGTTAGGGGAAAACACAACAAAAGTCATTGTAGATGGAGATCCCAAAACCTTATTAACCATATACTGAAATCTCATACTTCCAATATAGGACTCAGGTTCCATATCTTGCTATTGAATCCTAATAGTTTCATTCCTTAAAAGGAATATTTTTGTAATGTCAAGGAGAAGCATCAGCTATAAATTCTCTGATGTATTTTATAGTGAACTTTATTTATGCACTAGTGGTTTAGGGATCACAAAGCATCTGCCTTTTTTAGCGCAAATTGATGCATGAACATTAGTGAAAGATACAGGTTGTGCTTACTGGTGATGATATGTTGATTATATAATACCTTATAAACTTTATAGCCATAAGAGGATTTGCTGACTTGTTAGGAGGAAAGGGGAATAGAGGAAAAAGAAGCAATCTACATAAATAATAACTAGTGTGTTTATTTTTGTATGGGACACTTCATACTTCATCTAGAGATGTTTATTGCGGAACCTTAAATTTGTTGATAACCTAGTATGACTAAAGATGTACAGATGTACACTTAGACTGATGGATTAAATTATGGATAAATTCAAAATTAATTTATTAATTACTTAGAAAAGACTTGGATTGTCTCACGGAATTTCATGTAGTATTTGATCATTTGGATGAGTAATCACAAAAGAAAACAACATGATAAAAAATGACTACATATTACATACGAAAAGAATATTGGAGTACTACCTATTATGAAAAAGATGATAGAAAATCAACTAAGGTGACTTGGACCTGTGTAAAGGTTATTAGAGATACTAATGAGAAAAGTGAATGACATGACTTTTAGTTCAATAAAAAGGAATAGAGAAAAATCCAAATTAACACTGGAGAAAGTTATTAAAAGGGATCTTATAGTTTAATCTGTCTGAGAATTTGATTTTTGATTGAATGGCATAGTGTAGTGTGATTCATGTAGCTTATCTCACCTAATGAGATAAGACTTGGTTGTTGCTGTCTTTGGTCATCAAGAATTTGTTTTTTATTCAAAACAATATAAAAAAGTTGCATTTTGTTTGTCATCAGGAAAATATGGGAATGATATAGTGTTAAGTATCTGCAATGAAGAAGAGTACAATGATATAGAAGGCTGAGAAACTCTTCTATTTTTCTTGTTTATTAAAAAAGAAATGATTACAAATATTCTAAGATTTTTAAACTGAGCTCTAAGTGATGTATTTGATGTTTCATATCAGTTGCACATTGGATAAAAGTTATAAAACTTGGTTCAACCAATTTTTATTCATGTTAAATTTCATTTGCAATATCTAATCTTGGATGCGATGAATAGTTTTCTATTTTCTTTGTTTATGTCTTCATAATGCCAGGGATTATCTGTCAGTATATTCTTGGCTTCTTGCATGTTACAATTTAGGTTAATATATTTTTGAGGCCTTCTCAAAGTACCAGGCTGACAATTTATTCATATATTTTCAGATTCATGAGGTTTTAAAAGTGGCAAGTAGTGCCTTTGATGGTGAGACTTGGCTATACAGTGTGGGAGTGGATAAAGTAATGCAACACAATCGTCCTGTGTCAGCTCAAAGGACAGTCCCAGCTTTTCCTGGTGATATAGAATTTGGAACAGTTATTTCACCAGTCACTTGTAAAAAAACCCCTGCTGTAGCCAGAGCCTTTAATTCTTTGTTTGTGCTTCAAGATGTTAATATGATGGTAACATCAAGTCTTAATAGTGAATTTGATATAGGAAAGCTTTTCTTTAGTTCGTTGGGTTCTGTGTGTACAATATCTGATTGTATATTACGAAAAATGCGAGGATTTCTGATGGTTATTTCACTTGACTGCACAAAACTTGAACTATTAGGAGAGGAACTTGACAAGTCTTCATCAGGTAAACCTAAAGAAAAGCTTACTGTTTCTAACCGTAAAAAGAAGGGACGAAACCGCAATTCTAAAAGGCAAAATCCTGTCCCGAAGACATGTGTTGATGATATTTCATGTGAAAATCCACTCAAGGTAATAATGTTTATTGAAAGAGATGGATGGAATAGTTTTATCATATTAATGCTACCATTTACAATTCCGATTTGTTCCATATGAAATTCCAGGACATTGTGCATGGTAAAAAGAAGACTGATTTAGTGGGATCCAGGGAACTACCTCCTGTTAATATGGGGAAGGAGATTTCTATGGAGAGCTCTTCATCAACTGTTAAAATGGTTCTAATCTTTTTTCTTTATTCAAAGTCTTATCTCTTGTTAAAGATTTAAATGGTTTATAACAAGCCACTTGTCATCAGGATCATACTCAAGGATTGGATGTTGGAAAATTTCGAAGCACTCCAAGGAGAAGTAGAAAAGAGAAAAATAAATGTAAAAGCACCCCTATAGATATCGCAGGTGGAGATTCTCAAAAGTCAACTATGCATGCTGCCTCTACCACTGTTATTTCTGAAGGTGAGGTGGCAATATGTGATAGGTTTTTAGGTAGTTCTGCCATTCAGAATGTCAAAAATGACAATTCAATTGGTCATGACGTCCTTGCTTCAAATTCAAGCCTTTGTCGTTCTGTTAGTGGGCCTACTAAGGAGAACGGTTCTACAAGGAAAGTTGAAGGAGAGACTGAAGGTCTTGCTGAAAGTGGCAATAGTTTAGGTCCTCAGTGTTGTTTTTTGTCAGATGAAAGGAAAACTTTATCTTCTGGATTAGATACTTTAACTTGTGATGTAGATTGTAATGCTATAACTCCTCCAGCACCTGCATTGAAGCATGGTAGTTTCTTCAGCAAAGAAGGTACCTGTCCTTTGATCACATCGCGTGCTGCCAAAGCTGATATAAAGTCAATTACTCCAGACAAACTGATTGGAGAGGTTCATGGAAAAGAATTTGGGCTGTTGAAGGAGCAAGATAGATGTCTATTTGAAAGTAGAAATTCAGCTTTCTCAAAATGCAGTCCGTATGAGTGGCCTGGTGTACCTTCTATCTATTTTCCATCTTTTAACTCACATCTTCCTCCTGCCACTGATAGACTACATCTTGATGTTGGGCGGAATTGGCATAATCACTTCTGCCACCCATTTGTTCCGACATTACCACAGGCTAGAAATACACCTATTGAAGGTGGATGCAACCAAATTCTCTCTCGTCCTATTCCTATGAGTTTTGACTGGCCCCCAGTTTTTCGTGGTGGGATGACTCCGCTGAACTATAATTATGACACTGGTTTTATGTCTAGGAAGCAATGTACATTTTCGAAAGGATTGGCTGTTCACAGCATGCAGGTTGATGCAACTGCTCCTGATGATGAAAGAAAGTATGCTGGGGATGTATGGGATTTACCTGATCTAACAAATGCACCTGAGCTAACAGATGAATTTGACAACCACTGTGTATCTGAGGAAGAGTATGAGGTTCATACTGTTTCTGGTATAGATTATAATCAATATTTTGGTGGAGGCATAATGTACTGGAACCCTTCTGATTATCCTGGCAAGGGCTTCTCTCGGCCTCCCTCTCTTAGCTCTGATGACAGTCTATGGGCTTTGCGTGAAGCTGACATGAATAGGACAGTAGATGACATGGTTGCTTTCTCATCTTCATACAGTACGAATGGTTTAACATCTCCCACTGCTGCTACATTTTGTTCACCTTTTGATCCTGTAGGGACTGGGCCGCAGCCTGTTGGTTACATGATGTCAGGTAATGAAGTACCTGGAAAGATATTGCATTCTTCATCAGTTACAGATGCAGCAGTTGATGAAGATACTTCTGGTTCTTTGGGTAATAATTTAGCTGGAGAAGTTGAAGGGAAGGCAGGTGATTCACATCCATATCCCATTCTACGGCCAATAATTATTCCTAACTTGTCAAGGGAAAGGTTTGATCATAAAAGTCCCGGTGTTCCTCCCACCAGGCGGGAGCACCCACGCATAAAGCGGCCACCATCACCTGTAGTGCTTTGTGTACCACGTGCACCACGTCCACCCCCACCTTCCCCTGTGAGTGACTCCAGGAAGCAGAGGGGTCTTCCAACTGTTAGATCTGGTAGTTCCAGCCCAAGACACTGGGGAATGAGAGGCTGGTATCATGATGGGAGTAATTTGGAGGAAGCTTGTTTAAGGATGGATGGTGCTGAAGTTGTGTGGCCTTGGAGAAGTAATAATCTTGCAGTGCGACCCTTGATTCAGCCTTTACCTGCTGCCTTGCTGCAGGACCGCTTGATTGCAATGTCACAGATAGCACGTGACCAGGAACATGTAAGAAAGATCCTTACTCAAGTCTTACTTTATACTTGTATATGTTGGTCGTGATTGTGGGTTTTTTATTATACAGCCAGATGTCACATTTCCTTTGCAACCTCCTGAGTTACAAAGCTGTTCTGCACCAAGTGCATCTTTATCTTTGATGCATGGCATTCTCCATGATGAGATTGACTCTTTCTGTAAACAGGTATAGTTATTTATTAGTGATGTTGCTGACACATAGTACTTACACAGGCACACTTCTCACATGCTCCTTTGCTGCAGTCGATAACATCCTCTTCCATTGTAGCTTTTTTCCTGAATGATCCTGATTTTGAACGTACTTTAATAGATCGCGCTAATATCTTTATTCTTATTTTTTCATCTCTGTTTCCTATCAGCATTCCTGTTCTTTATTTAAGTTTATTCTGAATAGAATTGCATTAGTGTTTAGAAACCTTGTATTGCTTAATATCATCATCAGAAGACCTAAGAATCTAATCATGTTACTCATAATTATTGTGGAATCCAGGTTTCTGCAGAAAATATGGCCAGGAGGCCTTACATTAATTGGGCTGTCAAGAGAGTAACTCGATTTCTGCAGGTTCTGTGGCCCAGATCCCGGACAAACATATATGGTTCAAATGCTACTGGTATGTCTCTTCCAACAAGTGATGTTGACCTTGTGGTTTGTCTCCCTCCAGTGAGGAACCTGGTAATTTTTTGTCTCTTTTCTCATGTCTGTGTTAATTGAAATGTCATTTGATTTTGATGGATTAAAACCTCATTTTGTTTCTGTTTAACTCTTTTAATAAATTTTTCAGGAACCTATAAAAGAGGCTGGAATACTTGAAGGTCGTAATGGTATTAAAGAAACATGTCTTCAGGTATATTGGCTATAAACATGTTGAGTGTGCATATCTACATTTGACCCCTTGAGTGTGCCCATCTATGTTTGACCTGTTGAGTGTGCACATCTACGTTTAGTAGGATGTGTATAGAATTTGAGTTGTGACACATTGACACCTTCCATGAATACATAAAATGTGCCATGGTTTAAAATAATCTGCACTCTCCAATTCATTGATTGGTTTCTTTCTCCTTGAAACTTAACACACTGGTTTATGTCATTTGAAAGAATTGGAACTAATATATTGTGAGGTGATAATGAATAAAAATTATTGCTATACTACTAATTATTGGTGTGAATGGATATACGTTGGATAAACTTGAACATGGCTTTCCTGAAAAATGAGTCATTAGAATGTGTTTGTTACCTCTAAATCTTCCTACTCAATGTATATGGTATGGGTCTTGTTAATTTGTATTTTCAGTTCTGTTTGAATGTCATTTAATTTTATTGACATTTAAAAAGAATTTGTTGTTTGGGGTTGTAATTTGTTCTTTTTGTTTTGTTCTTTGATACGAAGTAATATGTGGATATTGTTATTTCTGCCTGCTATTTTGTAAATACTTTACTACTAATAATAAGAACAAGAAGATTTTGAGTATATCAGACAATTGACACTACTGTGCTCATGTGCCAGCATGCGGCTAGGTATCTTGCCAATCAAGATTGGGTAAAAAATGATTCTCTGAAGACAGTGGAAAATACAGCTGTAATACCTCTTCTCTTGAGCTGTTAATTGTTATTATCAACTTAAGTGTACTCCTACCATAATATCTGGTAAGATATCATGCTGTATGTTTTTGCTAGCAGATTCCTATTATTATGCTTGTGGTGGAAGTACCTCAGGATGTTATCATTTCATTGGATCCTATGATACAATCATTAAAAGAAGAGCTGCATTGTATGCATGGTGAACATGGTAATGGCAATCATTCTGAAATCGTCCATTTAGAAGAATCAGCTTTGTCAAAAGGCTCCCAAATGAATTTTGATGCTTTGAAATCTAAATCAATCCGTCTGGACATCAGCTTTAAGTCCCCATCACATACGGGACTCCAAACCACAGAAATGGTAATATCTAGTGTCTATATGGCTCTCAGTTACATAAATTATTATGGTTTCAGTTATTTTTGTTGGTATAAATATATTTTTTCTGATGGAAACCTGTCTGTCTTTTAGTCAAAAGGACATATGATTGGTGGTTTGTGTATAAACACTTGCGTGCATGCACACACGCACACACGCACACACATGCCTAGTTCAAGAAGAGATTAACATACTTTATTTGTCTGGGTATAAATCTTGAAGTTAAGTTTTATTCACTGTTTATTTGGGATCAGATTTTATTTTATTTTTAGAAGTCCACTCTCAAGCTGAAAAAAAATAATTCAGAAATATGTTGAATCACACCCACACTAATTTGTTTAAATAGATACCTTTTTTATTAATATTTCTTCATTCTAAAATTTATATTTTTTCAACCCAAGAGGAAACTCTGTGGTGTTTGGAATACTATACTATGTTACAAGTAAAGAATTGGATGCCTACCAGTGAAGTAGTCCACTTATCATACTTCTTTGATGAGGAATAAATGCAGCAAAAACTGTACTAAAAAGAAGGTCAATGATATGTTTTTTACCATGCTTTGATGTGTATGTTTTGTTTTTCTGTTATGTCCTTCCTGGTATGTTTACTATTAATTCAGCCACGGGCTCCCATGGTTTAGTAAACATATCACAAGAAATTGGATTAGACCCTGCTGAACGCAATTAGTATTTTTTATTGCTTGGTAATTCAAAGTTATGATACTTGCTTCCTTTAGGTTAAGGAGTTGACAGAGCAATTTCCTGCTGCTACACCTCTTGCTTTGGTACTAAAACAGTTTTTGGCAGATCGGAGCCTTGATCAGTCCTACTCTGGTGGCTTAAGTTCTTACTGTTTGGTATGCATGATTGCTTTCCTTCACAGAAAATTTTCATTTCTCAATGAATTGAAGCCCTTTTTGTACTGGAGCAATACAATTTGATAGAGCTTTCCAGATAGTTTTGAAGATCTGAAGATTTTATTTATTTTAGTACATTTTCTGATCTATCTGAAAATGGCCTGATAATTGTTTCATACAATCTTCTCCTTGGTAGTCTGGTGATGATCAGGTGGAAAAATGGATTTATGATTGCAGTTTCTTTATTCACGTGTGTTGGATAAACAGTTCAACATACCTTATTGCCTTTCTCTTTATTCATTTGTTTTTGTCACCAGTAGTATGCAATAAATTTTCTTTTGTCAGTGACTATGCTGCTCCTGAAAATTTTTCTTTCAAGGATTTAAGGAACCTGCTTTGTCATTGTTTTTGGGTGTTTCCATGAACATTGAATTTTCTTGATTGACAAATTTTAGTCTTTATCCTGCTAAACTTGCATTTGTTTTGTTTTGTATGTAGGTCTTACTAATTATACGTTTTCTTCAGCATGAGCACCATCTTGGCCGGCCAATCAACCAAGTAAACTTTGATTTCTTTAGTTATTCAAAGCTGTCTATGTTGATAGTCATTGAGGACTAATAATATTTCCTACCACCTTCTGACTTGTGCTAAAACCAAGGGTTGAATGAGACAATTGAAAGGGTGCAAAGATCCAAGCTTTGCTCCTTTGTTTTGTTTTTTCTTGTATTGTGAGGATTTAATATAATAGAACCAAGCTGAGTTGTTGAGAATCATTTAGTTCTTACTGTCTCAGTTCCTTTTTTTATTTTAGATGTATTACTGCTACTAAAACTTCTCTTTCATTTTCTGGCAGAATTATGGAAGCCTTCTGATGGATTTTCTTTACTTTTTTGGGTGAGAACTAATCATAACTCTATTTTTTTGTTGCCATTAAAGAGAACTTGTATAATCTTGCTTTTTAGGTGACAATTCAATTTGATGATTGTTCCTATAGGAATGTGTTTGATCCTCGTCAAATGCGGATATCAGTTCAGGGAAGTGGACTTTATATAAAAAGAGAAAGAGGTTGTAGGTAATAGAGAAACCAAACTTTCCATGTACAGTGATATCATTCCTATTTTTCCTACAAAATGAAAATGACCTTTTTTGCAGCATTGATCCGATTCACATAGATGATCCACTTTTTCCAACTAATAATGTGGGAAGGAATTGCTTCCGAATACATCAATGTATTAAGGTAATGATGCAGTTATTAGGAACTTCTTTTCCATATTTCTGTTGTCATAGGTGGCCTTTCCTATACCATGATGTCAGAAAAAAGAAACCCTGTGATTTATATTTTTTGCAAGCTGTTGAGCTAAACCTTTCGTGTAGATGATGCTGAGAATGGTAAGGCTTGGGTAATTTTGGCAGAAAAAACAGCGTCTCTTGTCTTCAATAACTGATTAAGTACAAGGTGTATATAAGGTTTCTGTGATAGTGTGAGAAATGCTTGAGGATGACAAATGCGCTTTGATTAGTCTTGTGGCATGTGTTGGTTTGTTATTTTCTAAGAGCTTCATAAATGATTCTTGAAAGTTGTAGAGGGGGTGGACAGTGGACTGATCTTGTAGAAGTTTGACAAGCTTTGTAAACTTACAACATAATTGACAGTAAATGAATAAGCTGCAGTGTTCAATCTGAAAGGTCTGCCTAAATACGAAAATTATAAAATATATATTCACCTCTTACTGTATCATTATATCCCATTTGTTCTTTTTAGGATTCTTGTGCTAACTCATTTTTTGCCTATGAAGTTGTGAAACAGAATTTCACATGTTCAATTGGTTCTCAGTGTTTACAGTTTCTGTTGATATGAATTTACAGGCTACTCCCCTTTTTCTTTGTTGAAACTGGTGAATTTGGAAATGTAAATGCACTAAGAGGGAAAATGTATATGATGTTTTTCAAATGATGGAAAGAAACATTTCCGATACTTGATTTAGTTCAGAAGATTTTGAAATAACATATTTGATGTTCTTCTGAGCACTTTGTGTTTGAACTTCTTGAAATTCAACAAAATCATTATTATCCACATTTTGTGGTGTCATCCATGAAGCTCACACAAATATTACACTAAAGTGTGATTTGCAGAATTACTTATGCTTGTACTGATTGCTCATTCATCTTCTGTATGCACAGGGTTTATGATTTACGCTTTGATGAATTTAACTTTTATGGTAGTGTTTTCTCATTAGTTCTAATGTTGGTGCAGGCATTTTCAGAAGCTTATTCTGTTCTTGAAAATGAACTCAAATTCCTAAATGGTGATGGTGAATCATGTTCAACGCCAAGTTACAGACTGCTTCCAAAAATCATCCCAAGTCTTGATATATCATAAGATTCTCATTACATGAAGACTGAAATGTTATGTAGTCTGAAAGGTACGATTCAAGTCACCGATGATTGGTGACAGTTGTCAAGATGTTTTTGATAGAGACAAAATCAAACAGTAATAACAACAATCAACATATTTTGAATGTAGTGAAAATTGTTAATCTCAGTATAGGATGAAGATATACAGATATCAGAAATGTAAAAGGAAATTAACAGGAAAGCTTTAGGAACCATTGTTCCTTGACCAAGCATATGGCCAAATTCTCAGTGACTTTCTTCCTATCTCCTCTACTCCTCCTCTTGCTCTCTAGAACAGATTACTCTCTCTCCCAACCATCATGTGGCCCCACACCTTGCCCACTCAGCATAACTAACTATCCCCCATATCCTTCGCCACGTGTCCCACCTTTTTCCCTCCTAGAACATACTCTTAACATGTAACTACACAGTTTGCCTGTTGCACCTTATCCATTGAATTATTGGACTTAGTTTTATCAGTTTTGAATTTGATTTTGCTTATTCTTACATTAAAAAGTGTTGAATTTTGTGTTTGAATATCTTTATTTTGTCAAAATAAAAATAACTGATGTGGGGGATATGGATTGGAAACGTACTTTATTATTTATTATTGAGGATTATGGGTTTTGGTTGAGGCTCCAGGCATGTTATAAGACCTTGACAGTGCCTGAATCACAGTAGTTAATAATGGTTGGGTGGTTGTAATTGCACTGCCACTGAATGGACCCTCCTTCCTCCCAAAGCTTGTGGTATTGCATTTCACTATTGTGGCATGGAGTGGGATGGTCACAATAGCACCCAGCTGCCAATGTTGCATGTGGCTCGCATAGTGGCTGCTTTCTGGCCATATGCCATTGTCCATCTTGACCAGATCCCAAAGTAGTGTTGCTAGCATTTGCTCCACCATAGCACCCCTGCCATTGTTTTAATATTTTTAATGAGCGGGAGTATTCCCCCTTGAATTGGGGTTAAGGAGCAGGAAATGAATTTCGGTTGAGGAAAATGATACATATGCACCCAAAAATGTGCACTTGTTTTATTGGTCAATTGTGTGATAGGGCATGGGAAACAAATTTGGCTTGATATTCAGGTTTAGAGAAGGGTATTGCAGTATTGCTACATTCTATAAAGGAGGTTAGAAGGTGAGTAATAAGTTATTGATTGATTGCTACAAGTTCTCTTAATAAGATCAAATTAGTTTTTTGTTAAACATCAGAGGGGAAGCTCTCATAATTAGATAAACCAAGAAAATTCTCATTCATTTGCTGGTCTTTTTAATATAATAGCATAGTTGTTAATAGCGCGCGATCACACTGCTGTAGTAGTGTCGAATCACATGCAGCAGCCAGCCACTATTCGAAGCTTGTTGTGGAGTGTTTTAACATCGCGTTTGTCATGGGTGCTATTGCACCAGAAATTGCAGCATTTTGCACATGTTTTGGCCGCTATTGGATAAAGCATATGAAAGCCCAAAGTTGCCCTTATTATTTTAAGGTTGCAGAGGCTTATTTTGGGGTTTGAGTCTAAGTGAAAACTTTAAATGGGTTTAGAGAAACCCATCATCCCCCTCCCATTTTCCCACTCTCTGTTCATTAATGCTTCTGTTCGTTCCTGTGTGTCTAAATTTAAAAACTTAAAATGGGTTCAGGGAAACCGGTGCATCTTTCTCTCCCACTTTCACACCCTCTGTTATTTGATGCTTCTGTTCCAACAATTTACAGCTGTCTGACAACTCTTGGGCCAGCTCCTGGTGTTTATTGACAATCATAAGCTCTCTGTCTGTTGTCACTTTTTTCTCCCAAGTGCTCTTTTTTCCTGTTGTTTGGCAACTGTCCAATAGGCTGTCCGAATCTATTTTTTTTTTTTCTTTTCTTGTTTTTCCACAAGTTGTCCCACAGGTCCTCCAAAAGTCACAGCCATTTTAGTATTTGTCTTTTAAATTTTTAAGCATTTATACATATAGTAAAACAATATGTAATTTATATAATAAAATTTCAGAATAGTGGCCATCTTGCTATAGTGATTTTAGAGTTGGCCACTACGTGTCGCTATCTAAGATTGATAACTATGTCTATGTGTAATATGTTTTTGAAATTATAGAAACTTTTGCTGATTTAGGAAATGAGCATCTAATGCTCTTAGTTACCATTTATAATTATGGAAATACTAACCTAGAAAATTGCATTTATTGCACCTAAAAAATGGAAATGCTGATCTAGAGGATTGTATTTATTGCACCTAATAATGGAAATGTTGCCTTAGAGGATTACATTTATTGTTCCCAAAAATGAAAATACTGACTAAGAGGATTAATTACATTTATTGCACCTAAAAATGAATTAAAGCCTAAAACTAGTTCAAATATATTAATTAATTAGGAAACAATATTTTTAGTCCAAAATAATGGGATTGACACCAAAGTCTCCTTTAATAGCTCCATTTAAAGCTTGTGGAGCTTGTTCATTTTAAAGCTTATTTGAACATCTTAGCTCATGTTTTTGTAATGGATTTGCTTGAGATTTGAAATAGATCCCTAGAGGAACTCATTTGTGTCATTCCTTGATCCACATCACTTATTATTGTTGAATTTGTATCTTTATGTTAACATGTATTGTCTAATTCACAAGCTAGTAATTGATTACCACATTGTTACTAGCCTGATAACCTGACAATAGTAGTTAACCCAAAATTTGTACATTTATTAACTAGTGAAAATTTGGGTGTACATATAACCACATGCCCATGTCTAATTAAGTGCATGTGCAGATTATATACCTATATGGAAAATACTAGAATAGCAGTCATCCCACTGTGCGCGATCCTGCTGTACCACTATTGGGATTGGCTCCTATCTAAGATTGATAACTATGATTTCAGTAAGATTAACACGTTCTACTTGGCTATATATAATATTCACTGTAGATTGTTAGATTTAGATGTTATGTATGTAGGCTCACATAAATTAGGGGTGTATTTTGGATATTTGTATCTGGCTGATTGTCTAGCTCTTAAGTTGTTTTTAAATTTACATTTTTCAGCTTAATCTGAATTTTTATTGTCCATTTGCTCTCATAGGCAGGGTCCTACTTGTGCAAGGTTATCCATGCCAAAATATTGGTCTTTTGCTCTGGGCATGCAGAGGATACCTGGAAGCTGGAGGCTGGCATTCTGAGTTGTGGGTGGAAGTTGAACAATGCAGTATTTTTCTCGTGTCTTGACTTCCAAGCAGTGTCACCTAAGATGTTTTCTTGCATGTGTTCATAAGTTTATTCATTGTTAATGTTGCCAACTGCCAAGAAAAAGGTTAGGACTTTATCCTAGACGTGGTGGTGGTGGTTGATCTTCTGGTCTGCTGGATCAGTGTGGCTGGTTTAACCAACTTACTGCTCAGAAACTGATTTCCTGCTCTCTGTCAGTGAGCTTTTTAATATATAATGAATGGCAAACTGAGTTCTTCATCATATATGTTGCCATGCAAATTGTATGCACAGTTCTTTATTTGGAAGTTGGAACCAGTTTCTGCATCTTTTTGCCTTTAAATATTTCCTTATCTTTGGTTTTTCTAACATTTCTTTTCAGTTGATGTGAAGTGGCAAAAGATGGTAATTTGATGCAAAAGAGTAATCTGAGTCTTCTGTCACACAAGTAATGGCACCATCAGCCAAGTTTTATTTCTGTTGCCTAAAGCACACAAATTCCTTTGATAGTAATTTGATGTTGTGTTTCCTGATATAACCATCTAGAACTCAAATCTAATTCCAACATCTGAGTTCTTTTGTCTTTATATATTTTTTGTTAAAGTAATTTGAAAAGCATGGAGGTGGAAGGAAATCTGCCAGCAAGTAATTTCTCATCAAAATTGGTGTTTTTAACATGTTAGAACTCACTGATATCAGCTTCGTTTTGCCACATAACTGAGTTTTCTACTTTTCTTATTGATATGGCTAAATAAATTGTGAAATTAAGATAGTCATTGTCTGCCAACTGATTGGAGTAAGGATCTCATTGTTGTTTATCTTTTTAAATTAGTATGATCATTATTCATTTTTCCTTGTTGGTATTTGAGATACAGAGGCCAAGCCTTGGTGCAATAGTAATTTGTTACCTCTTGACACAGTGATATACAGGTTCATGTTGCCAAAACAGCTTTTCCACTAGCGGAGTTGAGGTTGTGTACCTGTGGCCTTCCCTAGACTGAAAAACAGTGTAAGCTTTTTGCACTGCACCACCTTTTTGTATTATGTTTTGACACTTGTGATGAAAATGAAATCTCATGTATACTTAAGGGTGCGTTCTGTTTGATTTATATTTTCATTTTCTGTTTATGCATTTACTAATAATTACACAAGTGTTACTTTCTGTGTACTTGGTTGCCTGTTTTTGTGATTTTACTAAGCAAATCTTGAAAACAAGAAACTGAATGAAAACAGGATAGCATTCTCAGTTATTGAAACTAACTCACACCAAATGCACCCGTAATTTTCAAACTACCTTGATATGTGGTTTGTTAGCTGTGTAGTCCTTGTGGCCAGTGTACATATTTTTATCATACCATTTTCTTGTTCATTTATGCATAAACATATGATGCTGCACCTGAAAATTTGGGGTCTATTGTCGAGTCTTGGTGCTCCCGCTTGTTTATTCACCTCAGTAAAATGAATCTGTTTATTGCATGAATACCTGTTTGCTGCAGAAAAAAATTGCATTCTAGTTCACTTGTAATGCGAGTTTCTGTTGTTTGCTATTACCTCTGGTTTATGCTTCTGTATACCAACTGGACGTTTTTTTTCTCTTCAGCTCTAGCTTTTTACCATTTCAGTTTTTTCTGCTTAGGCTGAAACGTGGAAGCAACCCCTGAAGAACCAGTGGTTGGACTTGGCTGGAGGAATTATGACATGATAAATCGTGCTGTTTGCATCAAATAATTGGGTTATTGTGCATTACAAGATGTTTATCAGAATTTGGGGGTTATGCAAGTGATGCCAACTTGATGTGGTCTGACTTCATAAAGCTCAAGATTAAGGAGAGGATTTTATTAAAAGTAGAAAATCATTGTATTGATTTGATTGAATGAGATGTTAGAACAAGTGTAGCGTACATGTATATATATAGATTATCTTGTGACAGCTATGCAAAAAACTAACTTAAAACGACAAATTCTCCTAACTGTTGCTAACAGCTCAAGGACCAGGATGCAGTACAGTGTCTAGACTATATTATGTTGAAGGATGAAAGTGATCAACACGAGAGCCCATTTTTAATTTATCGGTTTCGAAACTAATAATAAATTGTTCTAGTTTTTACAATTCCATTTAATGTACACTAAGCGAAGTACCTATTTTCCTTTGTTTCACTTCGTCAAATTAACAAGGGTCGAAGACAGTTTTTAGATTTTCACGATAGAACTGAGAATAAGTAGGAGTGTTTGCGGATTGGGTTGGATTGGTCTTTAGATAAAATGTGATTTGATCTTATCATACAATTATAGAGTAGTTTAATTTAGATCAGTCTTAAATAAATTTAATCTAATCATTTAGTCAGGCAATTTGGATTGGATTGAATAATTTAGATTTCATATATTTTATCATTGCTTCTGCACTATTTTTAAAATAAAGTTAAATTTATATAAAACAAAATTTTTATAAAGAAATATGATATACAAGAATAATTTTAAATCCTTCTAAATGAAATATACTCAATTTCAATGGATGTGTCTGTAATGTCAATGGAATGGCTGCTTGTGCGGGTTCAGTGTTATTTTCAAGTGTCCAATGACGATTTTTCATTAGATTCTCCCTCTCCCCAACTTATTTCTCATCTTAGTTAAGTGGTAGATGCAAAAAGTTGTGGAAGGAAGGGAACATAGACTCCCAGATTCTAAGAAATTAAATTAGGAAGTCCTGGAAAAGCGAAACTAAATTTGGAACATTAAGTGATCGATAATGAAATTCGTCAATGATAATACGCGTAAGGTATAAAGTTATTATACAAACTATCGTCATGGTAAATGATTTTCTTGACTTAAAATGTCCTTCGAAGTGAATTTACTAAATAGAGTAAATTATGCTTAAAATTTTTCAAGTTATGATATCCTTATGACTATTTCTCTGTATCTGGATTTATATTTCATCTACAACATTTTAATTCGGTAAATTTAAATTCTTATGAAAAATCTTTATTAGAAGTACAACCGTTTTTAATTTCTTTTGAATTAAACTGCAGCATTAAGTTCCGTTAGTAAAAGACAGTTATTTGGACAGTAATTTCTTAATAATTTACGGACATAAAAATATCATTTTGGCACTTAACAATTTGACCCAAGCTCCTTTAAAAAGTATTTTCTTCTTTTAATATCAAATTTGTTTAATTTTTGACCCTTCGTTCTGATTAACAATTTGCATTAGTTGTGCTTTGGACTAACTCTCTTTTCCTTCCGTACCTGCAAATTTATCCATTTGTCTCGGTTTTTGTTATATTTTTCCTGTCCTTGTTTCTGCCCACTCTTCAGTAATGTTTATTACCATTGATATTGGCTTATAATTTTTACGTGTAGATGTAATTTCAGGTATCTTCTATCTTTGCCTGGGTAAAAGCGACTCAAGAAAGGTTTGTAACATCTTTAGTTCGATTTTGATTTCTGATTTCTATTTTATTGATGAGAAAGGGCGTTCAGATCCAACAACATTGTGCATCTTGCTTTTTATGTATGTTTGTGTATAGTTGATTGCATTAATTTTTTTAGCATATAATCTCAATTCTTAATTCTCAGCAAACTACTTGATAGGGGTGTATATAGGATGGGTTGAGACTAGTTTATCTACGTTTCTACCTTCAACATTTTTTTCCTAATCTTTAGTCGACTCAACCAAGATATGACAGTATTGGGATAGAACTGTGTTAACCTAACTTACGAACAAAATCTATAAATTTTAATATTATGTATAACTAAAGCAATGAACTAACGGAGTGTAAAATTACAATTAAAGTTTATTTTATAGTATATATTTTAAAATGATATCAATATGCAAAATGTAATATATTGAGTTTTATTATTAATACATTACTTGAAAAATATAAATTTTAAAAGAAAAAAGAACACCGAGTTGCGTGGGATCAACCTAAATTATTATTACTTGAAATCGCCTCCAAAATACATTGGATCACTTTCTACATTTTCCTATTTTACCCTTTATATTTCCTTGGGGTGCATTTTTATTACATGACAGTTTCTGTAATTTGCTAAGTACAAAGAAGAAGATCGGTGTAGAAGTAATACAGTTTCCTAATAAAAGAAAAGAGTGGTGTGTAGAGGTTCAAACGTCACAAAGGCATAGTGACAAAAGATATCAATCGCCTCTCAGTCTAATTTTTTAACAATACTCAAAACTCTGAGAAATCCCAATAGGAAATGACGAACGAACCAGAAAGTGAAACCAATTAATTATTGTTCACAATCGAGTTACCCTTACCACTTTTTCCTTTACTTTTTGTGCCGGATAGAGACAACTGATTTTGGTGACTAAGATAAGAAATATGTGTAAAATCAAATAACAATCATCCTGAATAACAAACACTTTTAGAGAGAGGATGAGAGAAATAGTGTATTATAATTTTATAATAAAAATTACCTACCTATGACTCAACTAAGTTTTATGCATCCTAACATAGTTTACAATAATTTATTGTTTTAAAAGAAAAATAAATGGGTGCCTCATTATTACTAATGTATTTTGATTATTATGATGTGATCTGAAGTGTTTTAGTATGTTTGCAAGATTCTAGAATTGTCAAACGTAAGGATCATATCTACATAAGTGATGAGTAATAAACTTAATTTGAATTGAATGTTTACAGTTTCTTTACGCTGTAACTTGATTTTGATGTTCCATTAACTATTACTTAATTTGTTTTTTAAGTTAAACTTCCTTTATTTTACTTCAAATTTTTGTTTAAAGTTTAATAAAAATTCAAAATAAGCTGAGTAGCTTGGGTTTAAGTAATAATATAATAATAATAAATTAGAATCAGGGATCATATAAAAGGAAAAGATAACGAGCTAGAGAAAAATAAAAATAATTAATAAATTATATATGAATTTTTTAGATAAAAAAATTTAAATTTAAACAAAATTTCAATCAAAATTTTTTTGTTTAATTTTTGTGTATTTTATTTGAATTTTAATTCTCATGCTAACGTAGTATTACTATCTTTATAAAAATCTGTATTATAATATCTTATCTTATGTTGAACAATAGTTCTTTATATATATAAATGTACTTTATGTGTGAGATATATGCTTTCATTTATTTATTTAGTTTATTTGAGTTTATTAGAATCTCTAAATTTAATATAATATCATAGTAATTGGGATAAAACTGTTAATAAAAACAGAGACATCTCAGTTTTTATTAGATAAGAGTTTGTCATTAATTTATCTATAAATTTTTTTTAATTGAACTTAATTTGAATTTAATGTTTGCAGTTTCTTTATGTTGTAACTTAATCTGTTTCATTAACTATTACTTAATTTATTTTTATATTTATTTTTTAAGTTAAACTTCCTTTATTTTATTTTAAATTTCTGTTTAAAATTTAATAAAAATTCAAAATAAGCTAAGTAACTTGAGTTTAAATCATAATAATAATAATAATAATAATAATAATAATAAATTATAATAAGGGAAGAAAGATAACGAGCTAGAGGAAAACAAAAATGATTAATAAATTATATCTGAAATTTTTAGATAAAAAATTTAAATTTAAACAAAATTTCAATCAATATTTTTTTGTGGTTGATTTTTATGTATTTTATTTAGATTTTAATCCACACGCTAACATAGTATTAGGATCTGTATTTTTCACTTTGTTAAGACATTGTTTAATACCTTTAACAAATGATTGGTGTTTATGGTTGTGATTCAATTGTTAAAATATTAATCACTGGATACAGAGAGAAGTCGTGAACATCTATAATGTAACATCAATTTTTGATAAATCAAGAAAGACACGTGTGAAAAAATTATGACACTAAAATACTATTGATCAAAATACACATATAATATTGTACAATGCAGGCTACTTGAAGCAACGCGAAAGTTATAGAGAAATATAGCATGCAAAAATCCACTTTCCTCATGAGCTATGACTCATGTCAATTGATCTCATAAAGCCAACTCAGCTAATTATACAAATCAATAATATATCATACATTCATTATATTTTTGTTCATTAGATGAAATTTCGAGGCACGAGAGTTAATTTAAATAATTGAGAAATTAAGAAGACTAAATGTGAAAAATTAAAATTATGAAAATTAAAACTGCACAAAGATTAAAGTATGAAAACTAAAAATAAAATTATGATTTTTTTTTCTTTTTACATTTCTTTGTTATTGGGTGAAATCTCATGTTGGTCTCACTCAGAGTGAGCTCAGGTTATTTGAGTGTCCACCTAAAAGATTACCCAATAACAGCCTGCTCAAAAATGAAAGTGGTCAGGATTCTTCCTATTATAAATATTTCTTTTACAATAATTTTAATGCATTGAACAGTAATGCTTTCCTTGCTGCTTTCCCTTTCCAGTTGTAAAATCAAAATCCTTCATGTAGAGTACTGATTGTTTGAATATCTTTATCTTTTCTCAAAACTTTTTCATGCATACTTGTAATGTGTAAACATGACGGAATGGAACAAGTACGCTGTTTCCCATGTCATCAATCCTTACCAGGCAACCACCATAAAATTCATCATAGAAGCTAATGGCACAGAGCATACATTCTGAGATTAATCTTCATCCGAGAAAAAATCAACATCTTTGGGAGGACCCCTTTGAAGCTTTGCTTGTAATTCTTGATTCTTGGGCAAAACAAGTTCAGTACCTTGACCTGATGTGGAGAAATATCTCTCCAGTACCATCTGCTAAGAAAAATGATAGGCTCAAATTATTCCAGAGTAGTCTTCTCTTCTAGTTGGCATTTACAGAGACAATAAGATTAGGGAAAATGCACTGGTTAAGGGAATAAAAAGGAGAAATGTTTTGTTGAAAAACGTAAAAGTGCACCCACTCCCATGTTTTTTAATGCTTTCAAACAAGATTTTTAATAAAAAATTATTATTTATTGATTTTTAACTAGAACCCATATGGCACAGGTTAGCAAGATTCTATAATTAGATACTCCAATTACATATAAAACTTGGCATGAATGTAAAATATTGCCAAAAAGGAATAAAAAATGATATCCACTTTACCATGGCGGCATAGGCGTCAAGCTTCTTCTGCTGAGAGGACTTACCTAAACCCCTGAAAGAGTAATAAGTGAGTCAATTCCCCAGTTAAATACTAAATTCCATACAAAATTTTGATTGACATCTTTTAACAGAAATCAAAGTATTAGAAAATGGAATCTACATTTGACTCACATCCAATGGATATTTCCTTTGATACCAGCGACCCTAAGCTCATATGTCTCCAGTGGAATAAGAACCATACTAATGTGATGGCCAATATAGCATTCTTGTTTATACCAAAATGGCCTCAAAATACATAAAAAAATTAGAATATATTTCTCAGAGTTTTTGGAGAGAACATGCATATTTCTTCATAAGGAAGTCTTCTGTACAGACGAGGATGTCAATTTCCATCTACTCATTTAGTCTCATTTTTCTTTAACACAAAAATATTTAAAATGATGCTCTATGAGAGAAGATCCAATTTTTCCATCAATTTCCCTTCATAGAGTATATGACAACTGTGTCCCATAAAATACACTAAATCATAGTGAATACAAAATCCTGCAAGCAGTATAACCATTGTGTAAATTTTTACTTTGGTGACAATGCACCAAATGCCAAATTATCACCAAGATTAACATAATTTGATGCATGATGCATACTCCTAAACCATTAACGTTACTTAGGGAATAGTCCATATCACACAAAAAAGATAGAATTGCAAGGGATATGATACAATAAATAAAGAAGTTTAAAAACAATTACATGTTGATCATTCGATCTACAGCTTCTGTTGTTGTCCCATGTTCATCCTGTAGATATACTCTCCAACCCCTGAAATAGATGCCAGACACATACTTCATTTTGTATTCCTCTTGGTGATAAGTCCATATTTCAGGAGATGTGAGATGTAACAAAGGCATTGAAGAATGGTAAGGTTAAGTGCTGGTTATATAGAAATGTAAGAGTCAGAGGAGAATAAAGGCACTTAATAGGATTGCTAAGGCCAATCATTCAACATTAGAGGGATTCCCATATGCCATAACTTAGGATTCCGGTGGTTTAGCAGCTTGAAAAATGAACACAGTATAATATATATAACTGACACTGAAGAAGAATGTCCTTGTGAACCGTGATCAGCATAAAATTTCAGCCAATTCCAAATTTGCAATTCATTGTTTTAATTTTGGAATTCAAAAATAAATACAGAAGAATTTAAATTGCCAAAGCTACAATAAAATGCCTTACCTCTCAGCTGCACAAACAGCAAGCCTTCCTGCAACACTTCGGACTTTGTTTGACTGAGGCGTTTCCTTTCCATCAAAAGATTTTGGAAGTCCAATTATAAACTCGTCAGCCTCCTACAGTTTCATATCATGTCATTTCTAAGGTTTTGTGCCCACAGAGATACAGATCCTCATCAACCAATTTTTGAGTAGTTCAAGAGAAAAAAGATAAAACCAGACCTCTTGTTCAGCAATGTTAATAATCTGAACCTCAAGCTTCTGTCCTCGCAGTTCCAAAACCTAAAACAACTACAGGATTATCAGGATGGATGACTGATGAAACATAAATAACATAATTCATAATTGCACTTGCAGTAATAAACATATATTAATCTTGTCATAGTCAAATAAAACATTTTCTTATCAATTGCAGTAATATGTGATCCATCCCTAAATTTTCTACTCAAACATGTTTTTGGTCCTAATAAATATACTGAATTTTGGTTTTAGGGGGCATTTGGAAGAGCTTATGGAAATAGCTTATAACTCCTGCAAATTGTTTTCAACATATTTCAATAAACTTTTCAGTAGCTTATTAGAATAAACTCTTTTTAGTTTATTCCAAAAGAAAAATATGAATGGCATAACTTTTCATAAAGAAAGAACTTATTGAATAAGTAATTAACTAAGCTATGTAGCATCCTTACTCCCTCTAAGATTTGGGTTTTGGTTTGTATATCTTATTTTATTTTTATAAGTGAGCACTTTTGATCCTTGCTGTTACCATAGATTCATTAAATGTTGGTGTGTCAATGAGTTGGGAATCCACTTGGAATGTCACTGCTTAATAGAACTATGATATTGAGGCAGAACAAAATGATTCTAGAAAACGAGACACAACTCAGAACTCAAACATTTTGGAATGATTTTACAAAATTTTAAAAATAAAAACAAAATAGAGTAACAAATTCCATGCTGAATTATCCAAATTTGACAGAAACTTCAGTGAAAAAAAAAATTGTTACGGTTAAAGGGCGAATAGAGAAGCCTTTGCTTAGGGCAAGGCCAGTGCGAGCCAAACCCAAGTCGAGTCCAAGGCTGAAGCCTCCTCTCCAATGTGGTTCTCTCTTCCTGCGAAGCGCGTTTGGGGGAAGTTCTTCCAAAGTTAATGCCTTTACTCTTCCATAACCCTTTTTGCTATTATGGGTCCTCACAAAACATGAGTTTTTTGAAGATGAACAACACAGCAACACTTTCTGGCTTGGTAGAGGCAGCACTTGCTGCGTCCACATTTTTCAAACCAGAGAAAGAATAGAAAGGATGATACAAATTTAAAATTAAATCACAATATATATTTTTTTGTAACACCTCTTTTTTAATAATACATTTTATTTTTTTATAAGGAAATTTTATAACCGTATTATTTATGAAATTAGTATGAAATTTACATGATAACTAAAATTTGTCAAAAATGTTATTTTTAATATTGCTTGCAAGAAAAGCTTAAGACTTGAAAGTACAGTTTCTTTTATTGCCTTTGTAAGAAAAAATAAAAAAATAAAATTGAGAGAATAATTTAAGCTTTATTTGAGAGTTAATTATTTATTTGATAGTGACTTTTGTTTAAAAGTTTTTAAATATGATGTTTTAATAACTCTTTTAATTTTTTTTAAAACTCATTTTTAAGTTTTATAAATTAAGAATTTCTTTTGTTAATTCTCATTTTTCTTCTCTTTTTTTTTCTTTTTTTACTCTTCAAAATTCGTTTCTCTTCTTTCAAATTCTTAAACAATATCTTAAGAAAAAAATATATTTATAGTATTCTTTTCATATTTATGTTTAAATAATTAGATAAGTAGTTAATAACGATAATTAAAAATATAAAGGGAGACAATAGTATATCCTTCCTTTATTTTATGTTTGCTAATTTGTTATTTCTTAATTTTTTCCTCAGTTTTATCATCTGTTTATTTATTTTCGTTATTACGATAAGCTTGTCATAGTAGAAATAATAATAATAAAAAAAAAAGGCCCAAAACATAAGAAGAGATGCATAAAAAAATGTAAAAAAATATCAGCTTATCTCCACTGCTGTGTTTGCTTTGAAGGAAATGGCTGTTTAAAATTCCAACAGATGAAATTTGTTAATAATACATGTTTCACTCGTTTGGTTTAAGCGAAATAATATATTAGAATGCTTTTATTTCAGTGAGTTTCACACTGAAAACTTTCATCGCTTTATCTAATTGTAATAAAGAAACTGGTTTGTTTTTCATTTTAATCTAATATAAAAATGAATGATAGAAATTTTCAATTTTAAGGTTAAATTTATTTACTTCTATTATTACAAAAGAATTTTTATATCATTTGTTTTTTTTTTTTTTGTACTTTTTTATTCATTCTTTCACTTCCTTCTTTTCAATTTTTTTTTCATTTAAATAATACACCATTTTTATTTTGTTTCCTTTCTATTTCAATCCTTCTTTTTTCATTTCTTCACAGTTTTGCTCCTCATCCAAACAAATCATACAACATGCTGTTTTTTCCTTGCCTAAACCAAACATGGTTATTTCTATTTACTTTCTAATTTCTTTCTCATCGATTTTTTTTTCTTCCCATTTGCTCACCAACTACGCAGCGTTTTCTAACCAAAATCTTCTGATTTAACCTAGCATTTCCCGTTGCATATTCGAAAAATTATCTACAATATTCTAGTACCATTAATCTTGGGTGCCTGTATGATCTGTGTATCATCAAAGCTTTTCTACACAAATGTGATAAATGTATAGTCTTTTTCAGTCTTCTCAAATGTTAAATAAAATAGCATTGTCCTTACATGTTCACGTTCCCTAATCTGGTCCCAACAACGAACAATGTTTTGCATTCATATCTCGCCCTAATAGAAAAAAAAGTCCCAAGAACAAATAATTCCCCTTTAACCCCAAAAAAGAGAAAAATTCGAGAGTGATTGTATCTTCTTAGTCCTACTAAAAGGTGGGAGCTTCACATTTTGCTGAAGGTATTTGGTCATTTGCTGCACTTAAATTGGCTGTGGGCGTGACATCTGAATTATCTGGGGGATGTTTTAGCACCTGTTGTTCAACTTTAGAATTTCCACCTTCAATTTGTATGGCCACACTTGAACCTTGAACAGGTAAAAGCTCAGGTTTTGTGTCTCTGGTAGGATGTGCTGTTGCTGGAACTTGAGCTTGAGATAGTACAGTCATCAGTAGCTGAGCCAAAAGTAGCTGTGGATCATTGTCACCTTGTTGGACTTGAGCGTTAATTGCATTAGACAAAGCATTGATGTCAGGTGGGTAAAGTGCTTGAAGCCCAGCCATTCCTCCAGACAAAGTTTGCTGACCTACAACAGCTGAAGCTTGGTGACTATGGGCACGCTTTAGTCTTGATAAGTGCTTTTTCCCAGTCACATGACTCTGGTAAACAACTTGTGACTCACATTTAACATCACACATCTCGCATCTAAAAGACACAGGTTGTGCAGGTTTTGGAAGTTCCACTGGCCTTGAACCATCATTAGTTTTCATGTATTTACCCCCCTTCCCTCCTTTCTTCTTCCGCTTCAATCCTCGGCCTCCTGCAGCAGAGCTTTCCAGGGTTTTCCCCTCAGTCACTTCAGCTGGAACTTCAGAAATGTTTCCTGCATTATTCTGCATCTGTATTTCCTCCTTGTGATGATCAACTATAACCTGAGAGCCCATATTTTCTGAGGGGCATCCATTATTCTTTGATTCCTGAACTTCCTTAGGTTGATCTGTTAAAATCAATTCAGAGGTACGAAGTTGCCCACTCTGTTGTCCATTTATAGTGTTGCGTCTTTGTAATTGCTCATGCATTTTCATATTCTTCTTATGTTTCTTCCCATTCTTGTGTTGCTCCAAGATTTCTGGACTATTGCACTCAACCTTACAAATTTCACAACATGCTTTTCGGGGTGCTGCTGACACTTGAGCTGCTTTAGGCAATGGTGTTTGTGCAGAGACTGATGATGACGGTTCTACCACTGAAGTAGCCCCAGCAGCAGTAGATTTAGAAATAGCAGGTCCGAAGGAATTTGTTGGAATGTGTCTACCACCACCCACTCCATGACCTCGACCACGGACACCCCCTCTAAATGGTCTACCCCCCTTGCCACCCCTACCTCTGAATTGAGATGGCCCAATCTGTAAAAAATAACTGACATGAATTTATGCATATATTTATATGGTTGCAATATTCAGGAGAAATTTGAGAGGAAATGATTAGAATGCCAAGATAAGCACACAAATGATATAATATCACAAGGGTAGTGATTCAGAGACAACGAGAGATGTAAAACAAAACAGTTATATTGAACACTTTCAATAATATTCATTAAAAGCTCATGATTCCTAAAAACTTGCAAATATTGGAGAAAAGTGTTATTGATAAAGAAAAAATTGATAAGGAAGATTTTAAAACAGAAAGTCACTTTAAATTATCACAAACATTAACAACCATGATGGCCTTGAAACTGCTTCCAAGGTATCAACAATTTCAAGAATCATTCCAATTCTTATAAATAGTTCAATCCATGTATCTCAAAATCAAAATTTCAAATATAAACATAAACAAGGTTGGCATTCACTTGAAAAATCTTTAATCATCAATTCAACAGAAAATAAAATTGTTTGTAAATGATCATGATATCAAGGGTTTAATTGGATCTTAGAATAAGTAATGAAAGGGTAAAGTAACTTGACAAATTGCTTAAACACTTTGCTTCATAGCTTAACGATTTTAGTCTTTCAAATGCTTTCCTGGTTTCCTTCAGTTTTCATTCCCTTCCTAAATTCATACAATGGTGGGTGCCTGATGCACCAAGCCACCATTTTAAATTTCAAAATTTAAATGCAGACTAACAGCAGCCATAGGATCCAGCATTTTAAAAGTTTCCAGCATGAAATTTTAAAAATGCATGAATGTGCTTAAACTTATTGAAAATTAGACTTCCAGTTGATAAGCCATGTGATGTGAACATGGATTTCCCTTGTTATGGTTGAGATAACATCTATGGCTCACAGAACATTTCTTCATAATGTTCTAACCAACTCATCGACCAGGGATTTGCCAATTCATGCCTATTGACAACTTTATGAGCCTCAAGATACTGTTGGTCTAGCAATCCTTGAAAAGTTGTTAATTTAAGGTCCTGAAAACATGCTCAATGCTTCCCTAAGTCTGAAACTGAAAAGAAACATCCTCTGACAAAAGAAGAAATAAAGCATATCAAATAAAAATTATATCCAATGAATAACAAAAGAACAAAGTTTCTTTTTCTAAACTGTGAGGCACTATGTTATTACTCAAAAAGGCCTGACAGTTAAGAAGAGAAACAACATGATCTGATGCCCACATCAGCTCTAAAGCAACCAGCAAAGACCCACCACCATGCAGCATTATTGTGGCTTCAAAGATATGATATGAGCCACAATAGCTTACTAGCTTATATTATGCAACTCCTGTCTTTATCTGGTCACTCTAGGGTGTTGTGGCCAAGTTTGTAGAATTCTCAACGTCTTCTGAAGGTTTTAGATGAAAAGCTGAGGATATAATACCTAAACCAGTATTGGTCTTTTGTCCAGAGAAAGTCCCAAACGAGGCTGAAGGAGCACCGCAAGCTATTCTCTCTAAAAGCATAACAAAATGATTAAAGAGTAAGTGTTGCAAAATCTTCAATCAGCCTTTTCTGTTTACTTCTTTGGATTTATTTTTTTTCTCTTTTTGGTAGTAAAATAAGAAATTGGTATGTTAGTGTAACGGTAAATATCCTGAACTGAGTCAAGGAGAAATAAACCATATTCAATGGTTTAAATTTAACTCAATCTATCTGAAATCATCTTGTTTCAGCTACACAAAAGGAACAGTCAGAGGTAATTAAAATCTTGAGCAGAAAATTAAGAACACCTCTTTCAATGATCTCACTAGAGCAATATTATATAGCAAACCTTTGCTGTATACAATCTATCCTATACCTCACCTTCATAAAGATTTAGTTTTTGATTGAGCCTAATGGCATTAATTGATCATGTAACCAATTCACCTAGTGAGGAGACAAGGCTTGGTTGTTGTTGGTCAAAATTCAAGGGAAAATTTAATGAAACAATGCTGTATTTATAAACAAAAAAATCCAATATGTAAAATCTGATAATAAAATTAAACAACACAGAAATTTGGTGCAGGTCATTAAAAAATTGCATAGAAACTGGGTTGCTATTGTATGTTTGTTATCATAATTAGATGAACACAGACAAACAAAACTTTCTATAGAAGGTGGCATACAAAGGGTGCGTTAGGATGAGGTCATAGAGAGTATACGAATATAGCTTACGACTCTAGCTTATTTCACCAAGTTTCGTGATCAAATTTACAGTATAAATCCCTTATGCAATAAAAACTTATTGAATAAACGTTTTATTAAGCTAATACCCAATCGCAACCAAGGTACACAAGCAGCAAAATAGTTTACCGTACACAAATTAATACGGTTAGATATATTAATATTTTAATCAACGGATGAGACGAATAACATAACTAATTTACATAAATTGCAGATCCTTCATTCTGTCCTTCCACCAACCAAAGCCACCACACTCGTAGCACAAAATTCCTCTCCTAATGCCTGCCCTTCCTCTCCCATAACAGAGGACAAACTCACATAAACATAACACAACTCAAACAACACAATAGAATCCACAATTAATTTAGGTCACGACCCGTACACAAAAATTCCCATTACTTAAAATTAAAAAAAAGAAAAAAATAAGAAAAATAAAAGGGAAAATGCAATTGAAGAATAAATTGAAAATTTGGAAGGGAAAATTACCGAGGAGGGTTCAGGAGCGGTTGGATTAACGCCAGGAGGGTGAAGTGGTGGGGATTGGGGCTGGTAATGGAATTGGGGTTGATGGGTATTGGGATAATATGCGTATTGGGGATTGTAAGCGTAATATTGTTGGTATGCAGCATAGGATTGATCGTATTGGATCTGAGATGGGTCGTAGCCATAGGGTTGTTGTTGTTGTTGTTGCTGCTGGTGGTGGTGAAAGTTGTAGCCTGAATAATCCATCGCTGAAATTTGGTGGAGGAAGAGCCACAATAACAAGAAGAAGAGGGAAAATCAAGGGACAGAGATGCTATGTGCTGCAGTGGATTAAACGCAGGGTTTGCTAGTCGTTTCGCTCGCTAATTGGCACGAGAACCACCTATTTAAATTTGTCAACATTTTATAGAAAATAAATGAATAAATATATATATTTTATTCTCTGAAGTTATAAGAATGAATTGTTTAATAGATTAAAATATCGATATTTATAATTTAAGAACCAAAATAAGTACTTAATTAAAAATTAAATGTTGAGAATTTTGAGAGTATTCATTACTACAAGGAAAACCCCACTTCCATAAAAAAAAAAAACCACTCTTCTTAAGAGTACAACGCACTTTACAAATGGAATATACGAAAAGAAATGAAGAGTTAAGAAAGAAGTAAAAAAGGTAAAAATTGGACATATTTTTTAATTAATTAGAACTAAAGAACAATAAATTCAATATGAAGAATTAATATTGTTTCTTCTCTCATTTAGTATAATAAAAATAAAAAGTGTTTAAAAATAAATTGTTTAATTTTTTTTCTACACAATATAAAAATAATATAATAATTTTGTAAAATGTATAGAACTTTTTGCAATTCTCTCTATAATTAAGAGAACAAAAACTCAGAATTTTTTCTACTCTCTTGTGAACCAAACTAATAGAATGTCTATGAAATTTATATTTTTATTATTTTTTATTTAATTTCTTTCCAACATTTCAAGTTTATTACTAAAGTAATGAGTATATTTAGAAAATAAAATATGTAAATATTTTGACCTCAGTCCATAACACTACCTTTTCTAAATATTTAAATTAGTAACACACTTAAAAAAATGCATTATCATATAAACATTTATTTCAATACCACCTTTATCTCACCATCTTCAAACACAAAATTTATTATAATATATATATATATATATATATATATATATAAAAGGAAAAAAATGCATGAGAAGAAGAATCAAAACTTTTTTTTTTAAAATGTATTAGTGTTTGTTCACGGGTAAGAATTTAAATCAAAATTATCAAAGCTGAAAAAGAAATGAGAAAGGAAAATAAACTTGAGTGCTCATTAAATGTATGTAATGGTTTGTGTTTTTTTTAGTATTTTTGTGAGATAGTTGATGCGTTAGATGTTATAAGATGGTTTAAGAAACTTAACCCTAATATTTACCTTTTTTTTCTTTAATTTACAACACTCCTATTAATGAAAAGAGAGTTATCCACATATTAATAGTTTTAGGGAGAGAAATGAAAAATAAAAAACAATAAAGCCTTAAGAGTTCTTTTGATTTTTAGTTTTAAAAATTGAAAATGAAAAAATAATTTTTAAAAACATAACTTATCAAACAAATTCTTTTTATTTTTTAAAGGTTTAAATACCTTTTAACTACCTGCAAATAGGACTTATTTCAAAAAATTACCTTAATTTTTTTTTCATTTTAATGTCTAACTAATCTTTTTTTCAATTTTATACCTGACGTTAACTTCCGTCAGTTACATGGTGACATGACTAACAATTTGTCACATCATCATCGATCTCTCTCATCCACCTCACCATTAAATCACCACGGCGTCAGGATTCCACATCAGTATTTTTGAATTTAAAAAAAGAAAAAAACTAAAAACTTGAAATTTAAGCACGCAGTGTTAACACTTGGAGAAATGTTGAAAAAGGAAAGCTTAAACCACCAATGGACAATTACTCAATCTTGATCTTCAAGTGAAATATTTCCAAATAGAAAGCAAAAAATCATTGAACCTCTTATCTGACATTGTAGTTTGTTTCTCATCTTCATCTTCACCTGTGCTATTTTTTGTTTTTGAAACAAATATCGGCATTGTTGTTTTTCTCTTATTTCCCAAGCACCGTGGTTGTTAATAGATGTGACATTGTGGACATTGTTGAAGGTAAGTATTATTTGATTAGATTATTGCGGGTTAGGATTTTCTTTCATAAATTATTACTTTATCTGACACAAATATTTGTTCCTTTTTGTATGTAGATAGCTTTCAATGCTATAATTAATCATGAAGGTTATTTTGAATTGGACCCCGTGATGCACTATGTTGGGGTAAAAAAGGTTGTTCCTATGAAGAATATTGATATGGACAGGTGGTTGTACTTTGAAGTACTTGAGATTTTAAAAAAAGACTTAGGTTACGGAGAGCACCCTATGAGGATATGGTGGAAATTTGATCCTTTTGACTTCAAGGAAATCAATTGTGATAGTGCAGCCCTGGACATGGCTAATTTTGCCATGTGTAACAGTGTGAAGGTTGAAATATATGTTGTTTGTGAAGGAGGTAATAAGGGTGTTGTTGGGGATAATTTTTTCAGTAGTGAGGAAGAATCTCTAAACGAAATTCATTTAGATGAAAGTGAGGAGGATAGGGCTGGTGACATGGATGATGGATTTGATAGAGATGTTCAAGTAAAAGGCAGAAAGAAGAAGTCATTTGCAAAGAAAGTGAATGAAAATGTTGAGGCTGAGGAGGTAGATGTTGCTTAGAGTGTTCGTCAACCTGACAAAGTCAATGTTCGTGTAGAGGTTGTCTAGATTTCTGGGGATGAAGATTCTATTGAAAAATAGACCCCTAAAGGAGACTTACTAAGTGCGATGGTCAGTCTAAAAGAAGGGTGGTTGTTGGTGGTACTGTTGCAGGTGTTGGGGGTGGAGACGTTGCTGTTGGGGGTAGGGATGCTGATGTTGGGGGTGGGGATGCTGATGTTGGGGGTGGTGATGGTGCTGTTAGCGGTTTAGATGAAGTTGTTGGGGGTGGAGATGATGATGATGAAGTTGTGACTATTATTCCTATTGAAAAACCTCGAGGTGAGAAGGAAAAAAAAAAGGGTACTAGGAAGAGACAATAAAAAAGAGTGAATGTTTTTTTGTCTGAGTAGTCAAGGTTTACAAGATGATTTTTATAAGGCACAAGAAGTACAAGCTGATGACATTGATCATGGTTATGCAAGTGAAGAGTTGCTCAGTGATGACTTTGAGAAAGATAGTTATAGAAGAAAATATTCCAGATATAATGCTGATGAATTGAATAAGGATTACAAGTGGAAGTTGGGTTTGGAGTTTGGTTACATTAAAGAGTTTAAGGACGCAATTCAAGAGTACAATATGCTGAATGGAAAGGAAATCAGATTTGATTTAAATAACAAGAGGAGGGCAAGGACAAGATGTAGGCATTGTGCTGAATACTCTGTGTATGTTAGTAAGGTCAGCAATTCAGAGACTTATAGGTTGAACACTCTGGTTGACAAACACATATGTTGAAGGGTCTTTCATAATAAGAGTGCGAATTCAGCTTAGGTTGTCAAGGTTTTGATTAACAAGATGAAGGTCAGGACCACTGACATGACATTAAATGATATTGTTGGAGAAATGAAATCCAACTATTCCATTGGAATAACACTATCAAGAGCATTCAGGGCTAAACAAATAGTTAAAAGTGTGATTGATGGTGACTTTGACAAACAATATGGACTACTCTGGAAATATGCAACTGAACTTAAATAAAGAAGTGCAAGTAATACCTATATGTGATCAGGGTTTTTAGGCCTTCTTTGGAGATTTTGCCAAGGTTTAGGAGTTTCTACATGTGCCTTGAAGGCCAAAATTAGCCTTTAAGAAGGCATGTTAGCCATTGATAGGGGTGGATGGATGTCACTTAAAAAACAAATTTGGTGGCCAGCTTTTGATTGCTGTTGGGAGAGACCCAAATGATCAATACCTTCCTTTGGATTTTGTTATGGTGGAGACTGAGACAAAGGATACTTGGAGATAGTTTTTGAATTTGCTCTTAGAAGATATTAGCTCTATTAAAGAAAATAAGTGGGTCTTTATGAGTGACTAATAATAGATAAGTGTCTATTTTCAGATGTTGGTTCATTTTCATTCAATATTTTTGCTGAGTTTTTGGTTCATTTTTTATAGGGCTTGATGCAAGTGTTTGAAGAATTTTCTATTCCTGTTGAGCATAGATTCTGTTTGAGTCACTTATACAACAATTTTAAGAAGAAGTTTAGAGGAATAATGCAACTAAGAGATCTTATGATAGGTGTTGCCAAAGTAACGTATGAACAGCTTTGGAGTGCTTACATGCAGCATATTAGAGATTTGAATGAGGCTGCCTACTGGTGGCTATTTAATTTGAGCAGGAGAGCATGGTGTAAGTATAAAGGGTTCTTAAATTAAGTTTTCGAAATATCGTTCCACAAGGATTATTTTTCAATTACTAAGAATTTTCTAATTCAATTGTTTAAGCTTCAAAGATATAAGATTAATTAAAACAAGAATTTATAAAATTAATTATAAACTAAGAGCAAAGAATGCAATGCACGTGTTGATTAAACTTATCGGAGAGGAACCTAGGGCATATAGGTTTTCTCATTCAATCCTTTATGTTATTCTTTTATTTAACTCTAAATTCGATTTCCTTATGATTACCAATCATTCATACGAATACTATTAATATCCAATGGTCATGCAATATTAATATTCTTTTATCTAAATTAACATCCTCAATGGTCATGCAAGACATCAATTTAAGAAAGCTTAAGGAACCTTTGAACTTGTTAATTTAATAACGATTAGAAGAGAAAGATTGGTTTAGTCCACCTAATCTTTTGTCTTGTTTTACCCTATAGATCTATTAATTAACCGAGATACGGTCGCCTGACGATATAATTAATTAAGATTAAGAAAAGAGTGCAATAGGATAAAATCTAATCACAAAACGAAAATCAAATTTAGATTCAAACATCAAAATTCCATAAATTCATGAACAATATCCCTTAGCCCTAGCTATGGACTTAGTTACTCATGCTAAAGAAAAGAACTAAAATAATCATAAACAAAGCCATAATAAAAAAAAATAGCAAACTAGAGTATGAGATGTGTTCCCAGTCTTCAGGTACGATCGCTTGAAGCTTCAAGTCTCGCTAAGCATGTGCCAAGGATCCCGTGCAAAAGAGACGAGATTAGAAGCGTATCCAAAAGTCAAAGACTAGATGTAAAAATGTCCCATTTACGATGCCTGAGATCTCCATTTTAATAGGGTTTGAAAACCCT